GACTTGCTATCTGAAGTCTTCATGGAAGAGGATTCCCTTTCCAAACAATAACACATCTCCATCCTCTCCCTCCCATCTTATCACTCATCAATAAGTCTTCAATAAAGGTCAGTGTCATTTTAGTATTGTTTATTCTGCATGTCTCATTTGTTTTCTGTGTAGGAAAATGTATATTTCATGTGAAAAAATTATTTTGTTTAATACTTTTGGGTGTCTGGAACGGATTAATTGGATTTCCATTATTTCTTATGGGGAAAATTAATTCGGATTACGACAGATTCGGTTAAAGACACGCTCTCTGGAACGGATTAATGTCGTAATCCAGGGGTCCACTGTATTAAGATTAAATATGATTGTAATCAAGTAAACCACTTGTCTAGTTTTAAGTCATTACAATGTGCTATCATCTGTCCTAGTTTTAAGTAGTTACCATGTACCTATTAGGATTAGTCTGCCCAAAATGCCCCAGCATGGTAGCAGCTGTCTTTCTACTTAGCAAACCAAAATTCTAATTACATACTGTAACCTTTACAAAGAAATAAACCTTTACTTTACTTTATATAGTACATACTGTACTGTTTTACAGGTTACAATGGTTTAGAAAGACACGTAACCAAACACTAACATATTTATTAGAAAACGTTTCGGTCCTGGGACCTTGATCACTTCTGAGAAGTGATCAAGGTCCCAGGACCAAAACGTTTTCTAATAAATATGTTAGTGTTTGCTTACGTGTCTTTCTAAACCAACTTGTCGGTATTTATTACCAAGGTTTATACCACAGGTTACAATACCTGCATTCTTAGTGTCTAGTAGTGGTATTGTTCTGAATCAGTAAACAAAGTCCACTGATTCAGAACTTTGTTAATTAATGTTACAATCATGAAAAATTAATTTCCTAATTCAGAATCTACAGACAATCAGAATTAACATAATCCTCTTTCGCTATTAGCCTGTTAGAGGGTTCACCGTAGAGGCACATTTCACAAGCAGATTCCTCTTAACCCCTTGAAGGTCCAAACCGTAGATCTACGTCATGAGCTCAGCTCACTCTGATAAGCTGTGAGTGGTAAATTTTGGCCTTGATATTAGGGAAAACATCTATGTGGTATGTGTGCACCACATACAACAAATCCTGCAGCACACAGTGCATAATGAGAGAAAAAAAAGATCGTAATTTTCGATTAAAACAACGACTTTGCAGTGTTTTTTCGTATGTTTTTTATAGTTGCATTTGCGAGTTCTTGGTCTCATTTGATGGAATGGAAGACATATTACAGAAATAGAGATGATTTTGACTGGTTTTAATAGTGGAAATGGCTTGAAACTGAGCTCAAAGTAGCAGAAATGTTAAATTTTTGCTGATGTTCAAGAGTAAACAAATGACCTCACACGTCTAATACACGCCTGCTGGTGGGTTTAATATATGTTCACAAATGCTCTTATCTAAATGTGCTAATATTATTTATACAATTATTACAATATTGCATAACAGTAAATCTTCTATTTTTTGGTTTGAATAAAAATTCATTATGTGAATAAAAAATCAAAATGGAATTAATTAATAAAGCCTGAAAACGTAACTAATAAACAGAGGAAATGTTAGTTTAGTGCCAGGAATGCCTGCAATGTTTATTCTGGACACCTATTTTGAAAATGCAGTATGTATTTTGAACTTTGCATTAAATTAGCCAAATTACCAATTTCCAATCACTTTATTTTGTAGTTGAAACAGCTGACTTGGCGAATTCTTGTGCTCATTCGATAGAATAGAAGTAATACTAGTGAAATAGTTAAGAATTTGGTCAACTGGAATAATGTAATTGGCCTAAAATGGGAGTCAAAGTCCGCAAAATCGCCGATGCATAAATATCGCTGACACATCAAAATTCGAGAGAGCATAATTTCGTCAGTTTTCCATCAAATTTTGTACGTTTTGTTTTATTACCTTCAGAAAAAAGTTCTCTACCATTTCATGAGAAAAAATAAAATTATTTTTTGAAAATTCTTGGACACTGGTGCACCCTTTGAAATTTGGCCTCTGGACCCTGAAAGGGTTAAAACAAATATAAGAAGACAATACGTCACTGATTAAGGTGGAGCAACTGTTTAAGATCTTGAATATCCACTTAATCCTTAAACTATCCAAACATAGATCTATGTTGACGTGCATAGCGCTCCGAGTGTAGATCTACGTTTTTTTACATAATGCACGTAAAATAGGATGTAGCTCTACGTCCGGAGCGCTACACACATCAATGTAGATCTACGTTTGGACAGTTTAAGGGTTAAAAGCTTATACTGTACATATACAGTGGAACCTCAAAAATCGAACTGCTCCCAACACGACCAATTATGTAAGTGTATTTTTGTAAGTGCTTTTATAAGTGTATTTTTGAGGGTCTGAAATGGACTAATCTAATTTACATTATTCCTGATGGGAATAAATTCATTCGGTAAAGGCACTCGAACAGCCTTCTGAACCGAAGAAAGTTCGATATTTGAGGTTCCACTGTACTGTTTACCTGGAGTTTACTGTACCTGAATTTTCAAGACAGTACTAGAACAACATATCTGAAACAGCATAATACAGTGGACCCCCGCATAGTGATTTTAATCCGTGCAAGAGGGCTCATTGTTATGCGAAATGATCAGTATGCGAATGAATTTTCCCCATAAGAAATAATGGAAATCAAATTAATCCGTGCAAGACACCCAAAATTATGAAAAAAAAATTTTTACCACATGAAATATACATTTTCCTACACACAAAGAGAAGGATACATGCACAATAGTAGAGTAGTACATGCACAATATACAGTGGACCCCCGGTTAACGAACTTTTTTCATTCCAGTAGTATGTTCAGGTGCCAGTACTGACCGAATTTTTTCCCATAAGGAATATTGTGAAGTAGATTAGTCCATTTCAGACCCCCAAACATACACGTACAAACGCACTTACATAAATACACTTACATAATTGGTCGCATTTGGAGGTGATCGTTAAGCGGGGGTCCACTGTATATTGTGCATGTACTACTCTACTAAATGAAGAATAAATGACACTTACCTTTATTGAAGATGCAGCAATGACTGATGAGACACTGTGTCCTGGGAGTGCCTTTTCCTCCTGAGTACTGTAGGTCCTGTTTGGCATTTTCTTCCAGAACAGGCCTTATCACACTGTGTATGCCACTACGATTCTTAAATCTCTCAAACCAACCTTTGCTGGCTTTAAATTCACCAATATGAGCACTAGTTCCAGGCATTTTTCCCTGTTCACCTGGGTGTTAGTCGACTGGTGTGGGTTGCATCCTGGGAGACAAGATTAAGGACCCCAATGGAAATAAGTTAGACAGTCTTCGATGACACTGACTTTTTTGGGTTATCCTGGGTGGCAAATCCTCTGGGGTTAATTGTTTCTTGGTATTCTCAATAAGCCACACCAACAACGGTGCTACAGCAGCAGCAGCAGCAGCAGCAGCTGACAGTGCTACAGCAGCAGCAGCAGCTGACAGTGCTACAGCAGCAGCAGCAGCTGACAGTGCTACAGCAGCAGCAGCAGCTGACAGTGCTACAGCAGCAGCAGACGATGCTACAGCAGCAGCAGACGATGCTACAGCAGCAGCAGACGATGCTACAGCAGCAGCAGACGATGCTACAGCAGCAGCAGACGATGCTACAGCAGCAGCAGCAGCAGCTGACGGTGGTACAGCAGCAGCAGCAGCTGACAGTGCTACAGCAGCAGCAGACGATGCTACAGCAGCAGCAGACGGTACTACAGCAGCAGCAGCAGCTGACGGTGGTACAGCAGCAGCAGCAGCAGCTGACGGTGGTACAGCAGCAGCAGCAGCAGCAGCTGACGATGCTACAGCAGCAGCAGACGATGCTACAGCAGCAGCAGACGGTACTACAGCAGCAGCAGATGGTACTACAACAGCAGCAGCAGCAGCTGACGGTGGTACAACAGCAGCAGCAGCTGACAGTGCTACAGCAGCAGCAGACGATGCTACAGCAGCAGCAGACGGTACTACAGCAGCAGCAGCAGCTGACGGTGGTACAGCAGCAGCAGCAGCAGCAGCTGTACCACCAATAGTAGCGATGGTTGATTGGGGTTTATTATACAACCTGGCCAGCTCGGAGACACGCACTCCACTTTCATACTTATCAATGATCTTTTTCTTCATCTCTATAGTAATTCTCACCCTTATTGCTGTAGGGTTGGCACTAGAAGCTTTCTTGGGGCCCATGGTCACTTATTTTGCAGATAAAATCACCAAAAAACACTGTAATAATACGAAATGTTCCGATTGTATGCTTGGATGTTACCGCGGAGGCTGGCTGGTAAACAATGCCACCGGCGGCACATGTGAGGCTGGCTAAGAGCGCACATTGGACGCGTCTCGGACGAACAGCGGTGAGCGGGTTTTTGAGCGGTATGCAAGGCAAAATTTTTGCGATAAAAGCGAGCGGTATGCGGATTAAACGTTATGTGATGCCGACGGTATGCGGGGGTCCACTGTACTTTCCTAACTAGGAAAGTCAGATTTACTAAAACTAACCCTGTTATACAGTACAGTACAGAACACTAACTTAGAATATGTATAAATATATTTAAGTAAATATTAAATAATGATTGCGAGTTAGGCAGACAACTATACTCATGTAATAATACAGTATTCAGACAAAAATTTAAGAATTAAATTTCTTAATCAAACAAAGAGGACACTATATCTAATATTACCACACCACAGTGCTTTCATTCATTTATCTGTTATACATATAAGCTAAATATACAGCACTGACAGCCAAACAAAATACAGCACAGGAAAAAATATACAAATAAGTATCCATCCTATATACAAAAAAAAAAAAAATTATGTATATAAAAATTATAAAACAAACTAAGACAACAAGTACCACAACATACCAACAAACACAGTTAGTAACTGGTGAAAAGCACACCATCCATGAAGGAAACACACAAGCAGGAAATACACCTTCTGAGAAAAGCCGAAGTGTCCGATTTTGTCATAAACATCATCTATAGTAAGCTGGTATCTCCTTGTACTCCTGGACATGTTATACCATGTAAGATGTCTGAAAAAAAAAAAATCTTATATAAAACTATTAATGACAGGGCATTAACAAATTATTGAACTCTCTCCACCCAGAGAAGGAAGTAAAGCAGCTTGCATTAGTCAATTAATAAATAAATAATTTTCATTAGCCAATGAACAGTTATAAATTTAAACCATAGTTGGGAAAGTTCTATTAGCTACCATACTCTGATATAGCAATTTGTAATACATGTCAAATTTAAGCTTAAAAACTTCATTATAAATCTGAAATTTCCCACAAAAGTTCCATCTTGTTGTGTTTCAATATGAAAGACATTTTTTCAAATTTTAGTTTTAAAATTTATGTAAATGAGCCCATCCAATATGAGCACTATTTAAAACAATGAAAATGTTTGGTTTAAGCAATATATACAGCAAAAATAAATAAATAAGAAAAAATTATTATACGTACACACTATATTGTATAAATTGTAAATAGCAAAGAATAAAATTATAGTGCATGTAAGTAAATGTTTCATCCCACATTCTCAAGCAAATTTAGTACATACATGAAACACAAACACTAAAAATAAGTCACAATACCATAGCTGGAACACTGCAAATAACTCACACTCCAAGAAAGAAATTTTAGACAATGTTCTGGTCCCTCGTAGACCATTATCATATTGCAGATGAGCTTTGACAATGGTCTAGGACAGGCCAAAATATAAAAAATTTCCTCTCCAAAGTACAAGTTATTTATCAACACATTCACAACCTTCACATCATCAAAAGCAACAGCCATGAACTACATGTCAATATTGTCAATGCAAAAATCTGTAACTTTTCCACAAAGTCATGTCATTTACATTGCAAATTAACAACAATGTTACTTATATTTAACGAACTGTCTTTTTTGCAACTGTATAATGCATTTTTGGTAATTTTTTTTTATCATCAAATGAATTTTTCTGAGCCTTTTAAATCATAAAAATACAGCATTTATAAAAAATTTCTTAACCTGATACTGATATTATAATCAAGGGAAGTAGTAAACCCTTATGGGTCATACAACACATGGGAAATGAGAGGCAATCATGTTCAATCAAAGAAAAAGAGGAAGAGACAGGTCCTATGATGACAAGTCATAATAAGAGAAAGTATTTTATTTTTAAATTCAAAGTATAATTTACTTGAATACTTTCACTGTACCTAATACTGTATGCTTCTGAGTCCTTTGGTTATATTGCAAGTTATTATTAATTAGTATTACTGTACTATAATTATTAAATCATAATTATAATTAATATTTTACTATATTCATAGGAAGTGCTATCATGAAGCATTCCACATTCTTTTGGGTGTCCCATGGTTTGGTTGACAGCACACTTATAATTTGAGCACACTTACAGAGGTACAAAAAAAATACAGATAAGAGCACACATACTGAGTGTCCGTGGTTCAATCTCCAGCAAGGGTAGAAACATTGGGCATGTTTCCTTGCAAGTGTTGTCCCGGTTCACCTAGCAGCAAATAGGTACCTGGGTGTTAGTCAACTGGTGTGGGTCACATCCTGGGGAACAAGATTAACCCTTTGACTGTCGAAGGGCCAAATCCTGAAGTTGCTTCTGGTGTCGCAAAATTTTCGAAAAAAAAAAAAATTATTTTTTCTTATGAAATGATAGAGAATCTTTTCCCGATTGTAAAGACACCAAAAAAACGAAATTTGATGGAAAACTGACGGAATTACGCTCTCGCGAAGTTAGCGACTTCGGCGATATTTAAAAATCGGCAATTTCGCCCACTTTGAGCCCTATTTTCGGCTAATTCCGTTATTCCAGTCAACCAAACTCATAACTATTTCTTCAGAACTCTATTTTTTCTATCGATTGAGTACAAGAAACTGCCCATTTACCGATTTCAACTACCCAATAACATGGTCAGAAATTTGCAATTTGGCCAATTTCACGAAAATTAAAAAATACGACAATTTCAAAATAAGGTCCAGAATGAACAATGCAGACATTCCTGGCTCTAAAATAACATTTTCTTTGTTCATCAGTCATGTCTCCAGGTCCCTGTGATATTACTCTTGCTTTTTATTTTGAAATTTTATTCAAACAAAAAATAGAAGATTTACTGTTATGCAGACTACTGCAATACTGTAATAATTGTAAAAATTACATCAACCCATTCATGACTGCGTATTAGAATGGCTATTTGGATATTTATTGGACAATGACATCATTTGTATACTTTTGAACATCGGCAAAAATCAAACATTTCCTGTACTTTGTGCTCCATTTCCAGGTTCTTTTTATAGTAAAATTAATCAAAATCACCTCTATTTCTATCATATAGTTTCCATTCTATCAAATGAGACCAAGAAAACGAGAATACAACCACAAATACTATACGAAAATAGACCACAAAGTCGGCATTTTAATTAAAAAAAACGGTCGGAGTTTTTTTTTTCTCATTATGCACTGCGTGCTCCAGGATTTTTTTTATGTGGTGCACACTGACCACACAGACCCATTCTCTCACATGTGGGCCTACTAGCTTTCTCCTGCCTGATTTGAAGCCGCTAGAATTTATGAGTATATATACGTCAAACACGGTACCTCGCAAACGTATATATACGGCCGCGACAGTCAAAGGGTTAAAGGACCCGAATGGAAATAAGACACTGTCCTCAATGACACAGATTTTACTGGGTTATCCTGGGTAGCTGTGGTTAAAAATCTAAACAGATCAATCTTAACCCATTGGGGAAATCAAGTTTGAGTCAAGGAAGGAGAAAGTGGCTTTAATTCCTTGGCTATAAAGTCCTTCATCAAGCAACAAGACATCCCACCATAAAAGATGTAATGGGGAGTTACTATACATAAAACTGAGAAATATTATCTATTTTTTAAACTTGAACATATGTTCTCTCCTCCTCCTCATTACAGAATGAAAAATTGACAGAAATCTGACACCTAAAAATAAAAATGAAACTTATCCCTTTAAAAAAAAAAGCTTAAAATGGTTACAAACAGTAAGTGGAATAGCATACAAACTAATTTCAAAGCCATTGATTATGCAGAGCATTTTGAGCATCCTAAAATTGAACAAAAAATAAAACAACAAATACTGATGGGTAGGTTTAGACTGCTTAACCTAGTAAATCAAAACACACGTGTATATAGGAAGCTTTTATTAAGACAAGATTTCATTCGAATTCTTAACCCCGGAGGGTTAGCCACCCAGGATATCCCAAGAAAGGCAGTGTGTCATCGAGGACTGTCTAATTTCTATTGGGGTCCTCAATCTTGTCCCCCAGGATGCGACCCACACCAGACGACTAACACTCAGATACCTATTTACTGGTAGGTGAACAGGACAACAGGTGTAAGGAAATGCATCGAAATGTTTCCACCCCTACCAGGAATCAAACCCAGCCCCTCCATGTGTGAAGCGAGAGCTTTGCCAGCCAGGCTTAGCGAGAACTTTATCAAGTTTCCTGTACCTGGAGTTTACCTGGAGAGAGTTTCGGGGGTCAACGCCCCCGCGGCCCGGTCTGTGACCAGGCCTCCTGGTGGATCAGCGCCTGATCAACCAGGCTGTTGCTGCTGGCTGCACGCAAACCAACGTACGAGCCACAGCCCGGCTGATCAGGAACTGACTTTAGGTGCTTGTCCAGTGCCAGCTTGAAGACTGCCAGGGGTCTGTTGGTAATCCCCCTTATGTGTGCTGGGAGGCAGTTGAACAGTCTCGGGCCCCTGACACTTATTGTATGGTCTCTTAACGTGCTAGTGACACCCCTGCTTTTCATTGGGGGGATGGTGCATCGTCTGCCAAGTCTCTTGCTTTCACTGTGAGTGATTTTCGTGTGCAAGTTCGGTACTAGTCCCTCTAGGATTTTCCAGGTGTATATAATCATGTATCTCTCCCTCCTGCGTTCCAGGGAATACAGGTTTAGAAACCTCAAGCGCTCCCAGTAATTGAGGTGTTTTATCTCCGTTATGCGCGCCGTGAAAGTTCTCTGTACATTTTCTAGGTCGGCAATTTCACCTGCCTTGAAAGGTGCTGTTAGAGTGCAGCAATATTCCAGCCTAGATAGAACAAGTGACCTGAAGAGTGTCATCATGGGCTTGGCCTCCCTAGTTTTGAAGGTTCTCATTATCCATCCTGTCATTTTTCTAGCAGATGCGATTGATACAATGTTATGGTCCTTGAAGGTGAGATCCTCCGACATAATCACTCCCAGGTCTTTGACGTTGGTGTTTCGCTCTATTTTGTGGCCAGAATTTATTTTGTACTCTGATGAAGATTTAATTTCCTCATGTTTACCATATCTGAGTAATTGAAATTTCTCATCGTTGAACTTCATATTGTTTTCTGCAGCCCACTGAAAGATTTGGTTGATGTCCGCCTGGAGCCTTGCAGTGTCTGCAATGGAAGACACTGTCATGCAGATTCGGGTGTCATCTGCAAAGGAAGACACGGTGCTGTGGCTGACATCCTTGTCTATGTCGGATATGAGGATGAGGAACAAGATGGGAGCTAGTACTGTGCCTTGTGGAACAGAGCTTTTCACCGTAGCTGCCTCGGACTTTACTCTGTTGACGACTACTCTCTGTGTTCTGTTAGTGAGGAAATTATAGATCCATCGACCGACTTTTCCTGTTATTCCTTTAGCGCGCATTTTGTGCGCTATTACGCCATGGTCACACTTGTCGAAGGCTTTTGCAAAGTCTGTATATATTACATCTGCATTCTTTTTGTCTTCTAGTGCATTTAGGACCTTGTCGTAGTGATCCAGTAGTTGAGACAGACAGGAGCGACCTGTTCTAAACCCATGTTGCCCTGGGTTGTGTAACTGATGGGTTTCTAGATGGGTGGTGATCTTGCTTCTTAGGACCCTTTCAAAGATTTTTATGATATGGGATGTTAGTGCTATTGGTCTGTAGTTCTTTGCTGTTGCTTTACTGCCCCCTTTGTGGAGTGGGGCTATGTCTGTTGTTTTTAGTAACTGAGGGACGACCCCCGTGTCCATGCTCCCTCTCCATAGGATAGAAAAGGCTCGTGATAGGGGCTTCTTGCAGTTCTTGATGAACACAGAGTTCCATGAGTCTGGCCCTGGGGCAGAGTGCATGGGCATGTCATTTATCGCCTGTTCGAAGTCATTTGGCGTCAGGATAACATCGGATAGGCTTGTGTTAATCAAATTTTGTGGCTCTCTCATAAAAAATTCATTTTGATCTTCGACTCTCAGTCTGGTTAGCGGCTTGCTAAAAACTGAGTCATATTGGGACTTGAGTAGCTCACTCATTTCCTTGCTGTCATCTGTGTAGGACCCATCTTGTTTAAGTAGGGGCCCAATACTGGACGTTGTTCTCGATTTTGATTTGGCATAGGAGAAGAAATACTTTGGGTTTCTTTCGATTTCATTTATGGCTTTTAATTCTTCCCGCGATTCCTGACTCCTAAAGGATTCTTTTAGCTTAAGTTCGATGCTTGCTATTTCTCTGACCAGTGTCTCCCTGCGCATTTCAGATATATTGACCTCTTTTAGCCGCTCTGTTATTCTTTTCCGTCGCCTGTAAAGGGAGCGCCTGTCTCTTTCTATTTTACATCTACTCCTCCTTTTTCTTAGAGGAATAAGCCTTGTGCATACATCGAGTGCCACCGAGTTAATCTGTTCTAGGCATAAGTTTGGGTCTGTGTTGCTTAGTAATCTTCCCAGCTTATATCGGTTAGGACTTGGTTTACTTGGTCCCACTTTATGTTTTTGTTATTGAAGTTGAATTTGGTGAATGCTCCCTCGTGACTAGTCTCATTTTGTCGGTCTGGGGCTCCCCGCATACATGTCTGAACCTCAATTATGTTGTGATCTGAGTATAATTGTTTTTGATATGGTGACATTTCTTATCAGATCATCATTGTTAGTGAAGATGAGGTCTAGTGTATTCTCCAGTCTAGTAGGCTCTATTATTTGCTGGTTTAAATTGAATTTTGTGCAGAGATTTAAAAGCTCGTGTGAGTGTGAGTTTTCATCAGAGCTGCCTCCTGGTGTTATTACTGCAACAATATTATTTGCTATATTCCTCCATTTTAGGTGCCTTAAGTTGAAATCCCCCAGGAGCAAGATGTTGGGTGCAGGAGCTGGAAGATTTTCCAGACAGTGGTCAATTTTTAACAGCTGTTCCTGGAATTGCTGGGATGTTGCATCCGGAGGCTTGTAGACTACCAAAAATGACTAGGTTTTGGTTCTCGACCTTTACTGCTAAAACTTCCACTACGTCATTGAGGCATTAAGCAGTTCTGTGCAAACAAGTGACTCTGCAATGTACAGGCCAACCCCCCCCTTTTGCCTGTTCACTCTGTCACATCTGTATAGGTTGTAACCTGGGATCCATATTTCGTTGTCCAAGTGATCCTTTATGTGGGTCTCAGTGAAAGCCGCGAACATTGCCTTTGCCTCTGCAAGCAGTCCACGGATGAAAGGTATTTTGTTGTTTGTTGCTGGCTTTAGACCCTGTATATTTGCAAAGAAGAATGTTATCGGACTGGTGGTATTGTTGGTACGGGGGGGGGATTTTTTTTCCGGCATTAGTATCTGTATCTGTTGGTTTGGAGTGGAGGCCATCGACTGTGGTTCCACTCCAGGAATGACTGGATTTGGTGTACGATTTCTGCCATTTCCTGCCAGTTTTTTTTCCTTCCTGGCACTAAAAAACCTCTCCCTCTTGAGTGGCTGTGGCTACCCAGGTTTTCCCATGGCCTGGATGTTTTGTATCTTTTTGTCCCCTTTAGATGGTATGCCTGGCAATTTAAGTTATAGCACAGTCTTTCCTGCTACTAGTAACTATTAAATAGCTTTATAGCTACAAGTATCAAATTATCTTAAACTGATAAATCTCTCAATAAGCAAGAAAAAAAAATTGTAGTAAAGGCTTTATCTACATGTCTCTGATTGACTGTGTTAGTTACAGTAGTTTGGTCTGAATACAAGTCTTGAAAATAACTTCATGTGATTTGCAGAAAAGACTGTCTTTAATAAGTGTATTTAGATACGGGTACACATAAGTACAATTATCGTACATAACGTGTAAATTACCTATTATAACCCATTACTTTAAATCTGTAATTTAATGATAAATAAATAAATAAATGTATATACGTATGTTAGTTTTCGTTAGTTATAGGCACATATGCACAGTACATATGTATATTTAACCCTAGGATAACCAAAGAATAAATTCATTGTGACATATGTCCATCGGGGTCATGTTACTAGAAGCTCTATGAGGGTGAAGACTGGTATAAAAGTAAAAAAAAAATACAAATGGTAAAAAAATATATAAATGTAATCACAGATAATACATAAAAGAAGCGCTAAACCTGTACGAGTGGACAACTAACCTTGAGCTGTCGAGTTCTGTTATTTACCAGACGTCGTCTCTGACCACAGCTCTGTGTCGACGACCCCAAGAGTTATAATATACCCAGCCACTTGTCCATCCTTGCCACACTTACAAGAGTACAGCTGTTGACAGCTGTGACACATGTAGTCTCCTCCACAACAGCTGTTCCTCGGGGAAACCTATAAATCCTCAGTCAGTTTATCCCGAGCATCAGCGGGAGTGGGTGCTCGTGACGTCATCAACGCTGCCACGACACTGCTCAAGGAGAGATTATTATTATTATTATCATAACTAAGCGCTAAACTCACAAAGATCTTACAGCGCTGACTCGAGGAGGGAGCGCTAAACTCGTCAGTTACGCGGCGTTTAAATAATTATGTTTTATTTCGAATGGAGGAGCCACCAGGCCAGGTTGGCCCGTGACCTGGTGGCAAAAGCTCTCGCCGAGGGTCCGGATTCGATTCCCGGCGAGGGTAGAAACACTGGGCTTGTTTCCTTATACCGGTTGTCCATGTTCACCTATCAGTAATAATAGGTACCTGGGTGTTAGTCGATTGGTGTGGGTCACATCCTGGGACAAAACTGACCTAATTTGCCCGAAATGCTCTGCATAACAAGCGGCTTTCAGACCTAGAGACTGTTGACTGGCCTACAGAATTCTCCAATGCCAATGGTATTGACGATTGGACAGACATTTTTCTTAACAGACTATACAACAAACATTGTCCTATAAAAACGAAACAGATCACGAATAAACGGCTCGGTTGCCCATGGCTAACCAGCAGCATTCTGAAATCCATTGATAAGAAACACCAGTATCAAAATCAATATAGACAGGGCTTAATACACAAAGATATTCTTAAACAATATTCATCAGTTCTCACCAAATTAATAACGAAAGTCAAACAACTGTACTACAGCAGATTCGCTGACACAAGAGGAGATATAAAAAAAAGACCTGGAAAACACTTTCCCAGATTCTGGGGACCCACAAACTGAAAAAAAAAAACAAGAATATTGTCCTAACCAAACCTAATGAAACACCACTACATCCCACTGATACAGCTAACAAGATAAACGACTTCTTCTCAAACATAGGATCTGATCTCGCCAGTAAAATCCCACGTACTAATGCCCATGCCGGGGACTACGTAGATGGGAATTTTCCAAATTCCTTCTATCTTGTACCAACTGAGCCCACGTTAGTCACCGCGATCATAAAGTCACTTAAAAATAACTCGGGGAATCTGTCTCACGTCCCACCATTATTGTACAAGTGAGCGGCTCATGTCCTTTCGCATGCTATTACATTACTTTTTAACAAGTCACTAGAAACTAGCACTTTCCCGACACTACTCAAGAGAGCAAGGGTTACACCAATACATAAAGGTGGTGCCCCTATAGATGTAAACAACTATAGGCCAATATCAAACTTACCATTGCTATCCAAAATCTTCGAGAAACTCGTGCACAGGAGACTATATTCATTTATAACAGCACAAAACATACTCAACCCCTGCCAATTTGGATTCAGGAAAAATAAAAGCCTAATGATGCAATTGTAAAAATGCTAAATCTGCTTTACACATCATTGGAAAATAAGGAATATCCGCTAGGAATTTTTATTGACCTAAGAAAAGCGTTTGACACAGTAGACCACGGCATCCTACTCCACAAACTTGACCATTATGGTATAAGAGGCCATGCACTTGCATATTTCAAATCCTACCTTACTAATAGGTATCAGTACTCACCTAGTTGAGGTTGCAGAGGTCGAGTCCGAGCTCCTGGCCCCGCCTCTTCACTAATTGCTACTAGGTCACTCTCCCTGAACCGTGAGCTTTATCATACCTCTGCTTAAAGCTATGTATGGATCCTGCCTCCACTACATCGCTTCCCAAACTATTCCACTTGCTGACTACTCTGCGGCTGAAGAAATACTTCCTAACATCCCTGTGATTCATCTGTGTCTTCAACTTCCAACTGTGTCCCCTTGTTGCTGTGTCCCATCTCTGGAACATCCTGTCTTTGTCCACCTTGTCAATTCCTCTCAGTATTTTGTATGTCGTTATCATGTCCCCCCTATCTCTCCTGTCCTCCAGTGTCGTCAGGTTGATTTCCCTTAACCTCTCCTCGTAGGACATACCTCTTAGCTCTGGGACTAGTCTTGTTGCAAACCTTTGCACTTTCTCTAGTTTCTTTACGTGCTTGGCTAGGTGTGGGTTCCAAACTGGTGCCGCATACTCCAATATGGGCCTAATGTACACGGTGTACAGGGTCCTGAACGATTCCTTATTAAGATGTCAGAATGCTGTTCTGAGGTTTGCTAGGCGCCCATATGCTGCAGCCATTATTTGGTTGATGTGCGCTTCAGGAGATGTGCCTGGTGTTATACTCACCCCAAGATCTTTTTCCTGGAGTGAGGTTTGTAGTCTCTGACCCCCTAGACTGTACTCGGTCTTCTTTGCCCTTCCCCAATCTTCATGACTTTGCACTTGGTGGGATTGAACTCCAGGAGCCAATTGCTGGACCAGGTCTGCAGCCTGTCCAGATCCCTTTGTAGCTCTGCCTGGTCTTCGATCGAGTGAATTCTTCTCATCAACTTCACGTCATCTGCAAACAGGGACACCTCAGAATCTATTCCTTTCGTCATGTCGTTCACAAATACCAGAAACAGCACTGGTCCTAGGACTGACCCCTGTGGGACTCTGCTGGTCACAGGTGCCCACTCTGACACCTCGCCACGTACCATGACTCGCTTCTGTCTTCCTGACAAGTATTCCCTGATCCATTGTAGTGCTTTCCCTGTTATCCCTGCTTGGTCCTCCAGTTTTTGCACCAATCTCTTGCGTGGAACTGTGTCAAACGCTTTCTTGCAGTCCAAAAATATGCAATCCACCCACCCCTCTCTCTCTCGTCTTACTGCTGTCACCATGTCGTAGAACTCCAGTAGGTTTGTGAGACAGGATTTCCCGACCCTGAAACCATGTTGGCTGCTGTTGATGAGATCATTCCTTTCTAGTATGTCACCATTAAAGACACAGCCTCATCAACACAGCCACTTGATACTGGAGTTCCGCAGGGAAGTGTCCTTGGTCCCCTGCTCTTCCTCATTTACATTAACGATCTTCCAAACGTATCCCAACGCCTGAAACCCATTCTCTTTGCTGATGACACGACTTACGTCATCTCCCACCCTAATCTTGCCACCCTCAACACCATTGTCAACGAGGAGCTGCTCAAAATTCTAACTTGGATGACAGCCAATAAACTTACACTTAACACTGACAAAACCTACTATATTATGTTTGGTAGCAGAGCAGGTGTTGTGCAACTTAACATTAAGATCGACAACACTCTAATTGCCAGACACAATGAGGGCAAATTCCTAGGTCTATACCTCGACAACAACCTAAATTTCAGCACCCATATCCAACACATAACAAAAAAAATATCCAAAACGGTGGGGATCCTCTCCAAGATACGATATTATGTGCCGCAAACTGCCCTTCTCACACTATACCATTCACTCATTTATCCATACCTCATCTATGCTATTTGTGCTTGGGGATCAACTGCAGCAACACATCTAAAGCCAATAACCCAACAAAAAGCCGCAGTAAGAATAATCACTAAATCCCATCCCTGGCAACACACCCCCAAACTCTTCATAGATCTAAACTTACTCCCTGTTCAGAACATCCACACTTACTACTGTGCAATCTCCATCTACAGGACCTTAAATTCCAATATTAACCTTGACCTAAAATGCTTTCTTGATAGTTGACAGGACCCACAGGCATAACACCAGACACAAACATCTCTATGACATTCCCCGTGTCCGACTAAACCTTTACAAAAATTCAATGCGTGTCAAAGGGCCTAAAATCTGGAACACCCTACCTGAAAACTCTTGAACTGCAGACACATTCATCACTTTCAAATTACAGTTAGAAAACATCTTATTTCTGTTTTCCCCCCCCAAAACTAACTACATGTAAACCACCTGGTGGTTCACACTTACACTCACTCACCCATTGACTATAAACACAGAAATACGAATCTTAATCTTAAAATAATGAATCCTAACTAGTCATGAGTTTGCCTATGATACTCCAATATAGACACTATGTATTGTGCCAAAACAAAAGCATTCACATTGCTAAACTCACAAACTGTAATGTAGTCACTTTGCCTTAATACCATAATCTGTAATAATTTAAAGTTTAGAATTAATCTAAGTCTGCCCGAAATGCCTAGCCATGCTAGGTGTCCTAGTGGCCTCCTCTGTAATTAGTAATTTAACCCTTAAACGGTCCAAACAAATTGACATTCAAATTCGTATTGCTACAAAAGTAGATCTACTTGTTTTTAACATATTTTCATATGTAACAAAAACAAATGTAGATAAAAATTTTTTTACACGTTTTCAAATGTAAAACAAAAAAGAAGATCTACATTTTTTTACATACTTTCAGATGTTGAAAAAACGTATATATACGTTTGGACCATTTAAGGGTTAAAACATGTAAACTACACAATATTCAAAATCTGTAAACCCTGCATTGTAATCTTTATACTGTACTATTATGTCATTGATGTCAGCTAGGCCTGTATACCTTGTACATATACTAGTAGAAATCAAGATATTATTATTTTTGCAGCAAGGCCCCCAACTCCACTAGCCCCAGTGAGAGCTATCTTACTATATCTTACTACTTACCAAGCTGTTTGAGTGTCTTACAATGCTGTAAGGCACTTGATCCAACCAGTTGGGGCTATCCCACCCCTTCCTCAGATCAAACACTATTACCCCTCATTTGCCAGGTGCTGTATGACCCTTATGGGTTATTACTTCCCCATGAACATAATAATAATCCAAAAAGCTCAAATTCTTTTGTCTGGCTAAGCAGTGCACTTTACTCTCTCCTCTTATTTGTTGATATTTTATGCCTACTATACCATTTTATAACAATATTCTCACTGCATTATAGTATTCTTCACTATTATAGTACACACTGTACAATACTATTTATACATTAATTGGTAGAATAATATATGTATTACAAAAAAAAATTGATTCTAATGGTAATTACATACTAAAGAAAAATTATCTAGCTTCACCATTACCTTTTCTGGCCTTCGATTTTATAATACACTGTATAATTAAGAAAATTTGCCAGATTCATTGACATAATATTATACGAATACACTGGATTAAATCATCCCTTAACACAAGACTTATACTACTAATAATAATAATAAATAATAATACCCAGAAGCAGTCCCTAGTTTACCAGTGTATTCCTTTCATCACTTGTTGCTTATCACAAACTGGTCAGTGTTGGACAAATTAGCCACACAGGAGAATATTCAAATATTCTTCACATATGATCA